TTGTTATTCCTTTCTTCACTTTGAATGTGATAAATTTCTGTTTTAATAGCAGATGGATACCATTATACATGTATAAATGTTGGAAGAATACCTACTATTTGTTTATATAAACTTTCATTAACTTTGATTAATGTTGATAGCCTCAATTAATTTGATGAAATTAAATGAGAAAATTTATGCAAAATTATATTTGTATAAGAGTATGACAAAATGTGATTTTGTACTATGTGGGAATCATTATTTAGTAATGAGAAGTAAGCCACTTAATTACTTGGAATCATTGGAAAATAAAACAGAATATTATGAAATATTCTAAAATCAATATGAAAGATCAGGAATTTTGATAAAATTATTTCTCAATATGAAGATTAATTCCAAGAGGTGTGTCCTTTCGTAGAATTTTGTTTTTTTGAGAACACAATTTTTCAACCTATGGAATATAATGTGAATTGGTACTCCATGATACTGTCTTTTGAAATGTCACAAATTTGAATATTGCAATCTTGTGAATCAAGATGCTTAGTCATCTTTATTGTTGTACTATACTACATGCGTAGAACCAATTAAGTTGGTTTATGCTTGGAAAAGTATTATTGGTCTATGTGATGGATGACCTTGATCAATTTGTAGTTGGATTGAAGTACATTGTATGCAATTTCAATAAATTTTGAATTGACAACCACGATTTTGAAAGTATTTAAACTTTCACAAAGCATTCCATATGAACATTATTGAACTATGAAAGAGTTGATGAACTCTAAGTTCAAATATAACCCAAAAATATGGGGGTTAACATTAATGTTTGCGAACTTATATGTAAAGTTCAAAACTTGTGGATGCAACTTTATTGCATATATATTCCTAATTAAGGAATTGTGGGGGGTAACTAATTCTACAAGTTAAATTCTTTATACCATATAAATCATAGAAGAATGTCCATGAAGTGAAAAGTAGGGATTTATACTAATTATAAGGACGATATACACTAAATCTAAAGTTGATGAAATGAGATGAATGCCAAATATGACGTTTGTTTGGATATGCAAAAACAATTGGAATATTTAAAGAATATTCTTTAATGGCTTGTAATAGTTCAATATTGAATATTGAATACCCATGAATCTGAATTCCACTTGTAAATGTGATTGACTAGTGTAATGATTTGATAGAAATCCCCTAACTGAGTTTGAAAAAGCCTTAGATAAAGCTAGTAAAAAGCATGTAANTGGTGAAGAGGCTGAGTAGTTGCGCAACTTCTTAGAGGATATTCCAAGATGGTCAAAACCTGTGCCAGCAATTTGTATATATTGTGATAAGTCAATCGGCAATTGGGAGGGCACAGAGTAACATGTATAATGGTAAGTCTAGACATATATGTCGTAGACAAATACCACAAGCAATTGATCTCAATGGTGTAAACTCGTGGTACCTGTAAGAGATTTACCAAGAGATCGAGTATACTGCATATCGAAGGGAATGAGATTAAGCCTACTACGTAAGGATCTTTGTAATGGTAACCCTTCCTTGTTGACTGGAGATCCCAAGTTCTTGGTTCAAATGGTTAACTAAGTTATGAAAATTCCATGAAACACTTAAGAAATTATTCCTACTCATTCCTATGATAATTAAAGTGCTTTCTGTAGAATGATCAAAGTTAATGTACTCTTTTAATGATTCCTATATTTTGATAAAATCAAGTGGAGTAGGGCAAAATACTCTTAATAGGAGGTCACCTATTTAAGTGTGAAGTGGGGCCGCTTCAATTAGAATTGTTCGAGGGTAAGATTCTCAACACTTATGAAATCCAAGAGTTGTTCAAGACCAAAATGAACACAATCATGAGAACCACGAACGGTTTAGGGAAGCATTGTGTGAGTACCGTTGTCTTGGCTTACACTAAAGTCTGAATAGTTCAAAACATCACGTTCACCAATTAACCGAGTAAATCCGATAATATTTCAGTAACGAATGTTCAAAGCCGCAAGCCACCTCATCAATGCAATGCTTTTTCCGCACTCTTTTTACTAGTGTCTGCATTATCATTTTCACATGTTTGAATCCATTCATGTGGAGGATTGTTGGAAATTGGTTTTGAAATATTGAAACAAATCCATCTTAAGGACAAAATGTCAATACTTGGCTCGGCCAATCGCATCACTAGCATCTCTTCTTTTCTTATCTTTCCATTTCTGATTTCATTTATATTTGATTTCAGAAATTGACTAACCTTGTTTATATCTTTATATTGCAAGGTTAAATGACATACTTTCATTCAAAATTGGAGAGTGAAGAGTTCATATTCATGTATTCAGATTCGGTAAATCATTGAGTTGTCTTTTCAACTATTTTGGTGAGTCTAATTACGTTTCGATTTCATGCATATAAAAGGTATATTTTTGTGAATATAATATGTATGTAATATACCCAACAGTAACAACTCGTCCGAATACAAAATAAAGTCTTGAAAAACAAATGATTGGAGTATGCCCAAAACTTCTACAGCTCTTTTCTGATTTCTCCCCTCCATTTCTCTTTTGTCAAAGCAAATTTTTCACATCCCACAAGCAAAATTCTTTCAAAACAACCATTTTTATCAAATCCAGGCCTCAAAATGAGCATAATTTTGCTTCCAAACTCATTTTTTTCTTCCTTTATTACTCTCTCGCCAATTTCTTATTTTATTTACTATTTGTGGCATTCTTTGGTTCATAAGTCACTCACCCATCCGTTTGGTTCCAGCACACCCTTAAGCAATTTTCAAAGATTCAATTACAAAGAGCTCAAGAATGCGACAATTTCAGTAATTCCAACTCCATTATCAAAGGGAGGTCTAGCACTGTTTTATAGGCATTTTAAAGAAAATCACAAAGGATTAGTAGAAGATAATGATGGTTGTGACGATTGGGTTGAGTGGTGATGATGGCAGTGCGGTAGCATTACGGGCCGTGGTCGGTGGCCGATGGATGGCATGGCCGATTTTATAATATCTGGTTTTGAAGTAGGTGATGGGGGAAGAGATACATATTTAATTATCCTTTTTTTTAAAATTTATCTATAATTAATATTATGTTTACTTGCTGATGTAATAAAATGAATTTGACTAAGAAATTAGTTTTCATTGTTATTAAAAAGTAAAGAAAAGTTTTAAATTTAAGTGTAAAACTATTTTATTAATAGAACTCGTGGTTAAAAATGAGTTTGTGAAAAAATATGTTTTCAAAGAATGAGGCTCAGCTTTCGAACAAATTTTGTATAATTGAGTAAATCTATAATTTTCGCTGAAACCAAACCGTTTACATGTAGTAAGAAGGCTGAGAGACAAAAAAAAAAGAATTGAAGAAAGGAGGCAAATGAAATGTTCACACTGTCCAACACAATGGCATCTACTGATGCACCTCCATCAAAAAAAAAAAAAAGAATGGTGATAAGGTCTTCTTTATGTAGTGCTTCTGGACACAACAGGAGTAAGTGCAGAGGAAGGGAACCACCAGTTGTAAACTGAAATGTTATTGCCCTGCTTTATCTTAGTTATAATGCAAAATGAAATGCTATTATCCTTGTTTTTGTCATACTTTTCTTAGTTGTAATGCTTTCCATAGTCTATTATTATCGACTAGTAATATTTGGTATGTCAATGTACAACTTTTGGTGTGTGGATGTACTGCTTCTGGTGTGTTAGTAATATTGAATTGATTCAGTATTATAGGGTTGTAATTTGTAATCTTCATCAGTCCAGGGTTGATTTTGTGCAAACACATAAAAAAATAGGGTTTATATGTCTCAAATTTAGAATAATATAGGATTACATATCATATTGTAATACGTTTCCAAGTTGTATTATGAAGTTTATTCAATGTTTGGGGGGTTTGTTGCAACCAATTTAGATCAAATGATGTGTCAGGCAATCATTACCAATGAACAATGAGTGGGTCAAACCACGTGAAATACCAACAATCTTCATTTTTCTGAAGAAAACCAAAAAAAATATCAGAGTTTGAGAATACTCAATAAAAAATAGTTCAAATATTGTGTTCGGGTTTCCATTACAACCGTCATGCGCATGTGAAGAACCTTTTTCCCGGGTTGCCGACCACGAAGTCTCTGCTCAATCTCCATTCAGCATTTGTGCAGATGGGAGTCCATCGGAGCTAAGGATGAAGTTGTTGCAGCTACTTAGGCAAGAAACAAAGTGGTGTCAGGTAATGAAATGATGGATATAAAAAAAATACTGGTATTGGGTGGGTATTATTAAAGATAAATATATGAATGATGCATTTACCTTTCTTTATTTATCAATTTTTCCCATTTTTTCTGGGATTTAATGGCATATTGACGGATATTGACGGTAGATATGTTTTTCGTGCAAAATGTTTGAAATAAGGGGATTTTCTCCGATTTTCAATAGATATAAGAGTACATCTCAAATGAAAACGCTTACGAGGGGTATTCTGATGCTAATCCATAGTTTTATTATACCATTCACTTTTTGCTCGAGATCATATAGTTCCCTTACAGCACATTCAAACTAGTTAAAATGTATTTTTTTTTAAAGTCATCTATAGTAGTATGATGTGTACTTGTAGATGTATTCTAATGGATTTGACTACGAAATTATTTGTCAGTGTCTTCGTGGGCTTCTAGTTATGGTTTCAAATGTTAGTAGAAGTTGCAAGAGACTCCACAAATCACGTGCAAAGTGGGCAATTAAGCAGAATTTCAAGACTTGCCTAAAATCACAGCTGCAAATCTCAGTTTTCGTACAAAATTTGTATCATTGAGTAAATGTATCGTATTTGCTGAAACTTAACCGTTTCCTCGGAGTAGGATCGATTATACTGTAATAAACAAAATTTTTAGAAATATAAAATTGAATCTTATTGACACTGTTCAACCATATAAACATCGACTAATTCTTTTACTATCAAGTTTATGTAGAAAATAAAAAATAAGGCCTAGAGAAATACATCTACAAAAATTGATATTCTATCAAGATTTTCACGTCATCTAACGGTGAGCCAGTCATCTGGTCCGGACCGCACCCAACGAGGCTGATGATCGCTCACTAGTCCTTGCAACCTCTCCGCTGGCGGAATGGACTTCGACCCAGTTGTCAAATTCGCCTCCTCGTTAAACCAAGAGCTAGATTTTGATGAATATTCCGGCGAGGGCAAAGATGTAATTGCACAATCTGGGAAATCCAATGGACACCTCGGAGAGGTCGAGGGATTATCTTCATCACGTCTTCCCTTTGATGTAACAGTGTCATCAAATTCTTGATCGTCAACAAAGGAATGGTTTAAAAGCATCTCAGCCGTCCATCTCTTACTTGGGTCACGAACAAAACATTTTCCTAGAAAATCTTTTCCTCCTGATGATAAATTACTGGGCACCTCCGGCTTCTCTCCATGAACGCCGATTCTCATCAGTAGCTCCGCCAAGCCGAAGCACCTCCACGGAGAAGCTCCACTGACCATCTCCGCCACCACACACCCAAGTGCCCATATGTCCGCGGGAGGACCCTGCTCGTTTCTGTTGGCCATCTCTGGCGACATATACAGTGGTGAACCCCTCAATTCACACCCAAAATCACCCATTTTTTCTCTTCCAACTCTCTTCGCCAAGCCAAAATCCGCAATCTTTACACCGCCATTTTTGCCCATAAGAATGTTCTGAAGCTTAATATCACAATGAACATAACCAAACTTGTGAATATAATTAAGCCCTTTGAGTAAAGCTTTTGTATACCGCCGGACTTCACTCTCCGGCAGCCGATTATCCCGGCAATTCTTCACTTTATCGGCCAAAGAGCCACCGGAAGTATACTCCAACAATACATTATACAATTTCTCACCGTTTTCATGGGTAAAATTTTCCCCAAAGCAACGAATGATTTCTGGGCAATCTTTAAGCTCATCAAGTATCAATTTCTCATTCATAAGTGAATCAGAAAGAGACACCCCACAAGATTTCACGGCCATCAATTGCGGAATTTGAGAGCTCTGGCTTCTAGATATGGCTAAGTTCACCGTTCCAAAGCTTCCACTACCCAATTTTTCACCACGAACCCAATCCATTTCAGACTGTAATTTCAGTATCGGTTGTTTTTGGCTTTTCCTGAAGAGAAAATACAGAAGCGTTCGAGAACTAATTGAATTGAATAAGGAAGTTCAACTATGTATATATATAGAGGACGACTTGGAGAGTTATTAATTGTACGTAGAAGTGACGCAAAACGTGTGTGTAAAAAACATGTGATAGTGAATGATATTTCGCGCTAAATTCGCATGGCTGAAAAACGTGTTGATGTGGTTGGAGAATTATTCAGGAACTTTTCTTATAACAAAGACCACGCAACTCCACTTTTTTTATTATAAAACGTTATTCTACGCGTCCTCGACTCAACAGAATAATAAATAAAATATTATTTTTTACCTAATAAATTATTTTATCGAATAAGTATTTACTACATGTTTAATATTTGACACTGGATAGAATTTTGTAATACTAATGAATAAGATTCAATTATATAGTAAACAAGATAAGTGACTATAAATAGGGATGACAAAAAAACTCATCAAACTCGATACTCGTCGGGCTCCATTCCGAATGGGACGATGATTACCTGCTTAATTGAGTATTCGGGTCGAGAGACTCCACCCCAAGGCTGGTATAGATAACAAGGGCCCTGTCCTGCCTCATTTAATTTTTAATTTTTTAAAAGAATTAAATATTTTAAATGGAAATCACGTCGAAATTTTATTAATTTTAATAGAAAATGACAATTAAGATTATCTACGATACATAACAAACAATAAAAATATTAATTTACCAAATATATTTGAATAATTTAATTTTTAAAAGTAAATTAAAAAATATATTATTGTCTCATTTTAATGAATGAGAGTAATAAAATGAATTATCAAAAACTTACAAAAATAAAATTAAAAAATATTAAACAAATAGTAGCACTGTACTGCTTTAAACGGGTAACAACGAGTACAGACGAAAAATTACTCGCTAAGGATTGTTTGTCTCGACCCGTCCCATTGTCATCCATAACTATAAACTAAATTTTACCTATTAGTAAAAACATATTTGATTTTTCATATTAGTGGATGAGATTATTGGATATAATGTAACTTATATTTCTTCTCCATAACGAATAAAATTTGATATTGATAATTATAAGTGTAATACTTTACAAAATGTAAAGAAAAAAAATGATAAATCAAGATTCATTCATCATAGTTAATTTAAACAGGATATTATTTTGTCAGTTTATTAATTTTTACTTAACTTTTTTCGGTTATGATCTTACGATCTCAATATTAATAAATTATATAACTTGTTAACAAAATGTGTGGATTTGTATCAAAATGAGACTCAATTGGATTTGAAAACAAGTTGCGTCCACTAAAGCTTGAAGAAACGTCCATTTTTTCCATTGCTTGTGGAGATGCCCAACACACTGAGATGTTTCGTGATGGTTACAAATTGCAACTAATTGGCAAGAGTTAAAATTCAAATTAAATGATACAATATAATATAATTATTATTGGATAGAAAGGTACATGTACTATTATATCTATAAATAACGTAGCATGCACGTGACGAAAGGAGTTCCATATTGGTTGACTTGACATCGATAATGTTAATTTAATTGGGTCGATCGAAGCAGGTAACCTCGTCTTGAACTTGAGCTCGATCCATTAGCCACTCTTGGTCCATTTCCCTTCTTCCATGTGTGTGTGTGTGTGAATTCATTTCACTCGAGGTAAAATATATTCTATTTCTAAACAAATCCCCCTACCAGCCTCTTGCACTAATTCTCTCTTGTCCGACATCTGATCCGGTCATCGAAGTGAAAATGATTGTTGAACCTTCTCTCGGCCGATGACCTTTGTACCTAACAATGTGTACCAACTTGCGGATGATGCTTAAGTCGAAGGTAGATGGTCGGGATTTTATTGGCCACATGTGTCGTTGATTTCGAGATTAACATATAAAATACCTTAAGAATGAATTAGATTAGTCACTATGAGAATTGACAAATTTATTCCCTGTTTGATAGCCATTATTTTCGAACTTTTTTTACATATTCATTTTTAACTATACATTCGTACAATAAGATATTTTGTACGTAAGTTCAAAAAAATTTCATACTTTTTAACCACGCGTTTTCCTAAAAATTACTATTCAAATATTGTTTTCGAGAAAAAAATGGCCATCAAACAGATGTATTCATATTGTAAATTTATTTCTAATTACATCTATTTTAGCCCATTTGACAACTATTATTTTCAAATTCCTTTTTCTACATACTCATTTTCAGCCACACATTCACACAATAAAATATTTTGCACGTAAACTCAAAAAAAATTCTTATTTTTTAGCCCGACATTCTCATAATAATTACTATTCAAAACTTTATTTTCTTCAAGTAATGATTGAAAGACAGGGGCTTAGCGTATCAATCGCATCTTTTAAAAAGTAAAAAAGAGGGGAAAAAAATAGAGGCAGCAGCAGATAAATAACTTTAATTTCATGTTTCACGACTGAACCAGGAAAAAAAAGAAAAAATAAATAGTTTAATTAAAGTAACATCCTTATCTTATGGAGTATGGACACACGCATTCACCATGTGTAATAACAAGGATCCACCACATGGAATCAATCGTGCCTTCTTTTGGGACTTAATTTTGTAAAATAAATGACATACCTAATCATTGAATGCACCGTTTTGCTTATCACGTGAACTTTGAACCACTTATTCTCACAAATCTGTCGGTGATTGCAGGATAAAGTCGTAGAGAATTTGGAATTCCAAGTTCTTTATCCCATCATTTTTTAATAATTCTAAAAATGCAAATTATTCAGGCTAGTCTAGTCTATTCGAGTCGAGTTGGACCTACACAACGTCATTAATCTATAAATCGTGAAGGCTATATTAGAAAGTGATTTAACTAACATAAAATGCAAGTTGATAGGGTTGAGATCTGTATTGATGCTAGTTCGATCATCATCAAAGTTTTATTAAAATGCCAATCATAATGAGGAGTTGGTGGTGACAACTTTTAAGTGTAGTGAAATGAAATAACGAGAATATCGACAAAGTTAATAGTTCTAATGCTAATGCGTAATTTCAGTGTTGATTATTTAGTGTTGAGTTGGTGAATGAATTCGAGAATCGTAACATATCGTTATATAGTTTGTTAAACTCACACAATAAAAAGAAATATATGTGTGGGTGTCAAACTGATCGACCCTAAATCTCAAAACTAACTTTATTGTACGATGTTCGACCTCTTGGCTCGCCAATCTTGCAGGATAAATAAAGAAAAATAAAGCTTATCTATTTTCGGTATAATAAAATCAATCTTCGTTCTATACAGAAATGAATAATTGAGTCTCCTTTCAATGTTTTGATACATTGGATCAATTCCAAGCATTGACCCCTGTTTGGAAAGAATGAAAATATAGATTTTAATCTAAATCAAAGTTAATAATTATTTTTAAAAATGTAGTTATGAGTTCACAACGTTTCAACCACACATTTCCTCCGTTTATATGAAAATCTATCAAAATTTTGATTTTTTAATCCCCATTAAATATGTTGAATTTGACTAATTAATCGAAAATATCCATTAGAGTGGCACATGTCACACACATTATTGAGGTCTCAAATATTAGGGACTAGCTCTAGCTAGTGCATATCAAAATCCATGTCAGGCATTTTACGTGCCAAACTATGAGTCACACTTCAAAAGCAATTGGTAAGTTGAACAATGACTTTGACAATAAATAAACTTTCCCGTAGTTAGCCAATAAACACAAGCTCGGGTTAGGTCAAAAAATCCCAACATTTGGTTCCTATCAATAAATGACAACAAAAGGGCAGGCAGAGTCGGTCAGATGCACCGAACCAACATCTAAGCCAACTACGTGGCCGCGTAGACCGTAAATGACGTAGGTCAAAATCATGTCACGTTATATTAATTTTTTCACAATTTTCATATAAACATTTATCAACCGAGGCTTGAGCCACTTGATCTAAGGCAGAAAATGAATCGAATTTGTCCATATTCGATCTAATCTGGTAAGGATAATTATTCGATTCAATCCGATAATTCAACGGATATTTGATTGCTGAATCGATATCCGACTTGCTATGTCGTCGAATATCCGATCTAATAATTCAATCCGAAATTGAAGAAATTAAGAAAATAAAAATTTTATATTAGTCAACTTCTATTAAAATTAAATGGCTCAAATAGCTTTTTACTCAATTATTGGCACAACTACGTATATATTGCAAATCCTGTAATATTCTAGTGAGTATCTGATATGGGAAAGTGGAAAGTTGGGAACAATAAAAGCAACTCCCACCATTGGCCCCTTTGTTGTTTAATTTATAAAATAAATAAATTATTTTTATCATATTTTAATTAATAAAAAATTTAAAACTCTCCAAATATTTCAATTAACAATATTATACTATCATTTAATATTATTTATTATATAAAAATTATGTGTAAAGTATAATATAAGTTTCAAAATGAAATTAAAAAATATGTGTAATAAATTATGCGATAACATATAAAATACATTATATTATTATAACAAATCGGATCAAATTGACTTATATTTACATTAACTTCATTTACTGAATGAATTATTGGATTTAAATCTTGATCAGATTATCGAACTAAAATCCTAATCGAATTCGGATTAAATTTCAATCAATTGACAGCCACAATTTAATCTACTGGTTCGTCAAAGTACAGTGAAAAGTGCTGTAGCCACACAAGGTCAAAATATTTAATTTATTAAAATATTAGGACAATTTTTGTGGACTTCAATTTTTTCATGGATTACTTAACCAACTGACGGCAGATAGCATATAGCAACTCCATTCACATCCATGTAGCTTATCTCCGACACAGTTAGACAAATAGTTAGGAGCACGTGGCCTTCTCTGACGATAGGGGAGGGGTCGCAAGCAAATTGATGGTCAAATCAATCAATTTTTAAGAATATGTTTGGGTGTGGGAAATGTGAAAGACATGAGTCATAG